CCCTCTGCGCATGTTCATGACTGGACGACTTTTCACTGAGCAAGAGATTAAATATGTAAGTGGCGCACTGACTGAGACAAAAAAAGTTAATTGCAAGCTGGAAACAAAGTGCATTGAACTTAAACCATTGCATTTTCTTGATATTCAAGTTTTGCTAAATCTTGATTGTTTAAGAACAGTAACAGTAGGCCCAATGTTTTAATATTTAATATTTCCCCAAAAAAATGAAAATGATTTACCCAACACTATGGTATTCTGTTCTAGAGAATTAAAACATTTATACTTTTAAGAATCTACATGCAGGTCTTTTCATCCAGTTCATACAGTTCATAGCAACCACAGTTCCAAAAAAGACAAGCAAAAAAAAAAAGCTACTGTAGCAGTAGTCCATAAGACTTCACACCAGACATCACAAATTTCTGAAGGCTGTAATTCCTTATAATTTGACCTCCTGATCTTTATGCACCAAGAGCTTGTAACACTCCAAAGAGAAAGAAAAAATTTAAATCGCATCATATGACCCCTTTAAACAGGTAAAAGGGCATCACTACTGCATATAGTCAGAGTGCACTTGACTAGAGAGGAGCATTGGTGATCTTAAGTATATGGGTTAAGTATGCAACACCAGAAGAATGTATTAAATTATTTAATAATTTTAATGGATTTCAAGGAATAAAGAAAAGGAAAAAAAGAACAAGATTTCTGTCAGGACTGCTATCGTCAAAAATGATTGACACTTAGCATACAGTTTGGATTAGCAGTGTGGTTCTGTTCTGGGCAAAAACTCCATCCGTGCAGCCTGTCATGAATGAGCAGGGAGAGCAGCAATAACCCCCTTAAGGTAAACAGAACTGAACCAAAATGTAGCAGATATCATTAATGTTCTTAATGACATTTTAGTGCAACAACATTATTCAAGATAAAAGAAGTCTGATTCGGGAAAATAAGGAATATCAGAAAGCCAATCCTGACTGTGACAAAAGGAGGAGCTGGGGATGGAGGAGGGTACTTTGCTCCTGAGCAAGCGATAAAGCTGCTGAATAATACTGAATAGACGTTAGGAATGTAGTGAAAGGCGTTGTATTCCTATAGGTAGACGTGGATCAGAGCGTCAGCTTATGCAAGCTTGACTCATGTGACCTCCCAGAACTAACACTACACTTTTTTTTTGTAAAGTAATCAATTTAAGCTATTTACTAACAATATTTTTATGTTAAAACATGCACACATTTACTCTTATTCAAATGCCTAATATGTAGAAAATGCAAAACAGCAAAATGTTTTTTTGCTGTTTTGCTGAATGTTGTCCCATCACATTCAGTTATAAATTACATGAATTATGTAAATTACGATTCAAAAAGTTGAGTAGTTTGCATCCGCTTTTAATATCTTCATGTTAAATTGTTCCTATTTCAGTTTTAACATGAGATCTCTCTAGATTACTCATTAATTAATCATAAAAATGAAAGATATCTGAGCAAGTTATTTTATATTGTATATCAATGCCAAGATTTAAAATGTCAGCAGACATTGAAACAGTCAACAAAGCTGGTTAATATTAATTCTGAAACTTCTGAAACCACAGTTCCAAATCAATTCAGAGTTTAACTCAGATTCATGAATAAATTAGCCTGATTTGTGAAGAAACTTTCTGAAGCATCAAAAGATTCTTCAAAAGTTCTGGTTTGTCTTGTTTTGTCCACTGAAAAAATGAGAGCATGCAGATTTGGAAAGGCATGAGGTTGAGTAAATGATAACAGCATTTTATTTAAGAATTTTCTATAAACATATTTAAATAATTTCCTTTCTACTTTATATCTTCAATGTAGCTTGACGGTGATGATGCCAAGGCAACATTTGAAGAGGAGCCGGGAGTGGATGTGTATTCTGAAACTCAAATGCCGTTATAGATCATTTTTCTGGAACCAAATTAATTTTTCACAATCAGAGTCAGCAGAATTAGAGTGCAGCCAGCATATGAAAATTTTGACAAAATGATACCCAACTTCAATCCCATTTTAATGCAACTGTGACAAATTCATTTTATTGATGTGTGTGTGTGTGTTGGGATTTTCTGTTAATTATTGTTATAATGGTCAATTACAGTTCTTACTAGATGACATGTCATCATGACATGCAAAATTTGGATGTACATACAAGTGCCTTTTATGAGGTCTTTAAAATCAGATAGGACCAGCACCTCACAAAGGTAAGATATTGTTCTTCATTACAAAGAAATATTTTTAAAAAAATACTTTGTCTTGTTGGAGGAGTAGATTTGCTTTGTCCCTCTTATAAAGATGTACCAGTCTAGACATCATTGGGTGACTTAAACCTGAAGAATGCATTTCCTATGGAATGTATGTATTTTATGCTGTCAGATAGCTCTACATCAAACAACATGTTCAATCGTATTTCCTTTCCATGTTACAAGCAAATAAGACAAACAGCCAAAGTGACACTTCATACATGTGAAATATTTAATATATATAATATATATATATATATATATATATAATAAATTCTGTAAAAATATGTCTGATAGTTTGTTGTTTTCCTGTATTGTCACCATCATAAAATGTTGTAACATATTGGAGCCTACCATTTCAGATGCGGTTCATCATTCCCGATGACAGACCAATGAATTTTTATTGAAAATACCACAATGTTGCGCAGCTTATTTATATGCCATATATGGTTGTAAAAACCATAGGAGCCTATGGCAGGGTTCTCTGACGATCGATAACATTTATAAGAGCTTTAAATCAGCATCTTTACATGTATGGCAGCCATTCCATTGTGATCACCTCATCCATATCTTATTTAATGAGGAAAAGTACATCACTACCCTCTTGCAACAAGACCAGCTGGATGGCAAGGACAGTGCTAGTAGTACCTCAAAAGTAATTGGAATCAAATAATAACTATTGACCATGCCAAAAGAGTTGAAAAGAAAAGTTGTGAGTGAGCAAAAGAAGGGTTCAGATCTGGCTTTCCTGGCAGAGGGATACAGTGAGCATCAGGCTGCTTCCATCGTTAAAATTTCAAAGACAGAGGTTCATAAGAACAAGGTCAAGCTGCAGAGATTGGGGACAACAAAGCTACAGACCGGCAGAGGGCGAAAACGACTTTACACTGACCGGGATGACCGCCAACTCATTCAAATGTCACTTAACAACCAAACGACGACATCAAGTGACCTACAAAAAGAATGGCAAACGGCAGCTGGGGTGAAGTGCACAGTGAGGACGGTTCTGACGTCAAAGTACAAAGCTAGAAAAGAAGACATCAATGAGAAGTAAAGAAGAGCCAGGCTGAGGTTTGCAAAAGACCATAAGGATTGGACCAGTCCAGTTTAAATGTGAGAGAGACCTGGAGAGGCCTACAAGTCAAAGTGTCTCACACCCACAGGGTTATTCCACCCAATTTTGTTTTCTGAACTCTTCCTAAGTTAAAAGATTAGTATTGTGTTGATAAAAAATAAATATGAACTTGTTTTCTTTGCATTATGTGACGTCTGAAAACACTGCATCTTTTTTGTTATTTTGACCAGTTGTCATTTTCTGCAAATAAATGCTCTAAATGACAATATTTTTATTTGAAATTTGGGAGAGATGTTGTCAGTAGTTTATAGAATAAAACAAAAATGTTGATTTTACTCAAACACATACCTATAAATATTAAACCCAAAGAAACTGATCATTTTGCAGTGGTCTATTAATTTTTTTTCCAGAGCTGTATTTTCAATGTTTAAGAATAATTTTGAATCATAATATAATTTTTATTAATAATTTTTTATATTTCTGTTTTCATTTTAATGTTATTTAAAGTTTTAGTTATAGTGTTGTGTGTGTGTTTTTAAATATGTCTATATAGTTTTTTTTTTCAGATTTTTTTTTGGGGGGGGGGGTTAGTTTTAGTTAATGAGAAATGTTGCTTTGACAACTAGCTGAAATAAAATAAGTTTTATGTTTGTTTGTTTTTTTCAGTTAATGCTTATTTTATTATAAACAAATGTTTTTAATGGTTTTATTTTAGTTTCTGTCAACAATAATAACCATGATATGCAAGGACCATTATTTTAAGAATTAATACATAACAAATTTGCCTTAAGATAAAATGAGTTCCTAGTTCTGTCTGCACCCAGGGAACCATGGACCGCCTCTAATATTTGGCCAAGGCTGCTTGTTGACCTCAGTGAAGGGCTTGGAATTAGATTAGTGTGTGTCCTGTAAGGTCATGGTGGGTGGGTAGGTTTTTTGACTTGTCAATAAATAAATAAACATTAGCAAATCACTAAAAAATTAGATTTCAATCAGCGAACCAGTTCAAATCTTCATGTTTTTTTAATAAATAAACAAATCAAATAAATAAATACAAAGAAACCTTTAAAAAAAAAAGCAAATACAAAATGCTCATTAAAAAATCTAAAAATGTATACATACATGAGCAAAAATTATTAAATAAATATATAAACAAATAAGCAAGCAAACAAGAAGTAAATAAAACATAAATGCACTTCAAAGTAAAAACAAATCTCCAAATTTAATTATTTTCAATTATCTTGATTTTAAATGACAACGTAAAAAAAATTAATCCTCAGTGAATTGGCCTTAAGGTTGGCATGTTTGAGATGTTTATATGTAATTAAGTCTAAATTAAATCTGTTTATCATATAAAGTGATTGTGTCTCTTCTTGAGACTAGGATTAAACTGCTCGATTCATATGGATTACTTTTACAATGTCTTTATGAACTTTTTGAAGTGTCAAATTTTGGTGGAATGGCCTTTTAATGGAGGGACAGAAATCTTTTAGGTTTCATTTAAAATATTTTTATTTGTGTTTTTCTAAGTTTTATTGTCTAATAGTGAATCAAAATTGCGAATATTTTGCAAATTACAAATCATACACCTGAAAGTCCGTTTAGTGAAAACTTTCATCAGTTGATTTCCATTTTTCTTTTATCAGACCTGGCTAGGCGATTCAGCGGTGAGGCGTTCAGAATTAGACCAGCCAGGATCGATTGGTCAGGTCTGGGTGAAGGGAAATGGAAGTCTACAGACGGGAATAATAGATTGAAATCCGAATGTGGAACTTTGTTTTTGTCTGTGAGGAAATACTTTAAGGGAAATGTCTCTTCGGACCTTTTGTGTGCGTTACCTTTCACGCGCAAACCATTAATGGGACAAAGAACTCGCAGATTCCTATCAGATTTGATGATTGATTTGATCAGATGAGCAGCCTCAGTCAGTGCAGTGAACAGACCGACAACAGCAACAGCCTCCATTCCAGAGCTGGTGAGTGACAGTTATGTCCATATAATGCAGATCAACGGTATAAATCACGCCAAAGTAACTTATGTGTTGAAATTTTCGCAGGCGTCTTTCTTTTGAAGTATAACCTCTTACGATTCAAATTCAATTCAGTGCAGCCTGTATTGTTCCACCTTGTGAACGTCCTCGTATTAATACAGTTTTTGCATCAATTATGCTTCATAACATATCTTGTCGTTTATTTTGTTATGCCATTAAAGCATTTTAGTTGATCTGTTTCTAAGCTACTGAACGGAACCTATTATTTCAGTCTGTAGGCGAGACGGGATGTACATGTTATTGTGATCAATCGATCTGTTTGATTAAAATATATGATGTTTCTTACAGCTGTTAATATGAAACAATCTTTATCAATGCGATAGTCGAGTGTTTGCAGTCTGCAGCGTAAACGCCTAATATTCAAGGCAATGCAATGCCGTATCATTGATTCTTCAGCAGTTGCTAGTATCGTTGATAAATTCGATTATTCAAGCAAATGCAGAACTACATGGTCAGGACTTTTCCATTTTGTATGACTTTATAAAGGCAGACGGATCATATATTGCTGTCTCATGCCCTGCCTGTGTCTGTATTTGTCTTCCTTTGTTTGGGTTGTTGTTGTTTCAGCCTCTCCTCAGCCCCTGACTGCTGCACTACAGCATGTAGACAGCAGTGCTTTCTCCTGGAGCTTTTGCAAATGAAAATGGAGGACGTGTCTCTGTCCAGTATGGACAACAGTAAGATGGAGGTGAGTGGGTACGCCTTTGTTTTTCATATGTTATATTCTACATAATTAGATGTGTGTTGAATAAACAAACACATGTGGGTATTTCACCTCTGCGTCATGAAGCCTGTCTCATGGTATACATTGCACACTCATTTCATTGCTTTTCCCAGCTGATGTGTCCACTGAGCGCAATGCGAATGTGATGTGTACTCTTCTGAAGGTTACAGTGTGATTCAAGCGCATTAATACATGCATGTGTTGCGCCTTCTCCCACAGGGCTTTGCTCAAGAGATCCTGTCTGACCTGGTGGAGGACGCCTGTTTGGGGCTTTGTTTTGAGGTTCACAGGGCTGTCAAACAGGGATACTTTTTCCTGGATGATACAGACCAGGAGAGTATGAAGGACTTTGGTGAGAGTCTAGCATGTTTCTCAAAAATAAGGCATTGTACTGGCATTCTGGGACCTAATGCCCTTCACACTAAGAACGATAACTATAACAATAGCTATTAGCGTTCACATAAAGGCATGATAACATTCTGTTTATTATAAGCATGCGCTGCAATTATGTTGTATGCCACTTTAAATGCTTGAGCTCTTGAATTCATTCCAACAATATGGACTTTGCTATTCTTTAAGATTTATAATTATTTTTAAAACTATATCAGGGCTCAGTTATATATCACCTTTCTTTGCAATAGTGTAGATTTAATCACTAAACCACTCAAGGGATTTCACTGCATAAATAGTAACTGCAATTATTTATGAATGTATCTGTGTTTTGTATAATTTTAATATTTAATATTTTGCTTTCCAGCCAAGAAGAGAAAGTCAGATAAGGTATTTTTACATTCTTTGAAACAACCTGTGCACTTGGTAAGTTTGTTTTACTATTACAGATGTTCTGTTTGCTCTTAGATGGCCTCTCAGATTTGTAGCCACAGGATCTGTTGCAAACTAGTTATAGAATTAGTTTATTAAAGGATGTAGAATTCTTATCCACAATTCCTGTCAACAAAAATGTTTTGTTCATACATTAGCTGTCTAATAAGTGCTGGACTGTAGCATAGTGTACCTGCCTTTTCCATAACCATGTATTTTTGTTTCATTTTCATATCCTGACTGCAGGCTAATGTTTGTTGCCTCTTTTCTTTCTGCACAGAATCCAAATTCACCAAGAAGATCCAAATCCATGAAACATAAAAATGGTAGGTCTGTGTTTTTCTTTCTTGTGTGAAATCTGTAATGTATTCAGGTTTAAGGGCCCCGATATACTCATGGCGAAGTTCTTTTTTTATTCTTCGCTTAGGGGTAAAAAGAAGTTTGAAATACCTGAGCAGCAGCAGTATACTTTTAGCAAACGTCCCCACGCTGCTGAAAGTGGCATTTAGATGAATATGTAAATATGTACTGCATGCTTCCTCTCAATAATAAAAATAAACACACAACAGAAATGACAGCAATGGGGGGAAAAAAGCAGCATTCGAGCATCTGATCATATCGACTTGGACATGTTTACATCATGTCTGCACTTCAGCACTCCACTCAAATCACGTCATATTTATTATATAACACTTTATACAACAGATTGAAGGAATAATTCAACCAAAAATGAAACTTTTCTGAAAATTTACCCACCAGGCCATCCAAGATATACAGTGGGGAAAATATTTATTTGATCCCCTGCTGATTTTGTAAGTTTGCCTGCTTACAAAGAAATGAAGGGTCTGTAATTTTTATGGTAGGTTTATTTTAATGGATAGAGACAGAATATCAACCAAAAAATCCAGAAAAAACACATTATATAAAGGTTAGAGATTGATTTGCATTTCAATGAGTGAAATAAGTATTTCATCCCCCACCAATCAACAAGAATTCTGGCTCCCACAGATTGGTTATGTGTCCATGTGGAACACAGTTTAGTCCTGCCCTGTATCTTCCATTCCAACCTCTCCCACCACAATGGGCAAGACCAAAGAGCTGTCAAAGGATGTCCGAGACAAGATTGTATATCTGCACAAGGCTTGAATGGGCTACAAGACCATCAGCAAGAAGCTTGGTGAGAAGGAGACAACTGTTGGTGCGATTATTCGGAAATGGAAGAAATACAAAACAACCATCAATCGGCCTCGGTCTGGAGC